CAACTTTCGTTGAACCCTTTCAAGTTGGTTCATATGCATTTGTGGTATGAGGGTACAAAACGAAAATTGCAAACTTTAAAATAGACTTAACAAGCGCACAGTTTAATGCTTTTAGTGGAGCTAGTAACTTAAATGCATTACATTCATTACACATCCGTTTAAGAAAACTAAAGTGGATTTATGATTTTATGAGTAAAAGGTAATATGAATAATCACGACAGTGGTTGTTTAAGAAAAGGCCACATCAATTACACAAAAACACACACACACACACACACATAATTTAAAACCAATACTATATGTCTACTCAGAGTCTAAAATTATTCGACACAAAAACAACTTAAAAGTGTGATTTTACTCAAATAATTTACAACATTTAACAAGAAGCCATTACAAGAACAAAAAGTAGCTCTGCTGCACAGTAGCTTACAAGTGGGTCACTGTAATATGTAATGGATGGTGTTAAATTTGAATTCAATGATATAACAAAAACGATTCTGAGGGAGAACGGTCAGTCAGCCTATGATATTACTAAGTATATTCGATGAATTATTGTGAATAAAGTAATTTATATATTTACCTATCTACGTGGACCCTTGTTTTAATTTAAATCCTTACCTATAAAAGTTGAACATTTTATAAATTTTTAACTATAAAATAATTATTAAATTTTAAATATGATAAATTTTGTCAAAATTTGAACTTTAAATGATTATAAAAAAAAACTGTGCCTATGTATTTTTAGTATTTTTCAACTGCTATTGTTTCAATATATCAGGAGTCTTGCATTATATTTTCACACTTTTTTACCCAACAAATAACATTTTATTGATATTTATAGAAAAAAAAACTAAGAAAATTTAAAACTGACAATGTCCGAAAACAGCTCAAAAAGAGTTAAATTATTTTCAAAATTGTATGGTGTATACTATATAGGAAATGCTAATACACACATTCAGTGAAATTTTAAAATATCTACAGTCATTCATTTTATAATTACAACAAAATAAGAAAATCGTTACATGAGAAATCGTGTGAATATCAAATGTTGTAAAAATATAAATTTCAAATGCTCATAAAAATTTAATTTGACTTTCTTCTTGAATTTTTTTTTTTTTGATAAAGATAGACACACTTATGAGGAATCTTGTATTACATTTTAAAATCTAAGATTTAAAAAGAAAATTTCTTATGAATTTCTAACTCAAAATAATTTGCAAATTTTCGTCATTTTTAAGTATTTTGTCAATATTTGAACTTTAAATGCTTATAAAAAAAATTATGACTAAGGATTTTTAATTTTTTTCATCTGCCTTTGAAAAAATTTACTAGGAGCCTTCTATTAAATTGTCAAGCTTTTTAACCAACAAATAAAATTTTTTTGATATTTATAGGAAAAAAAACTAAATAAAATGGAAACTGAAATGTAAAGATTTCAAAATAAGTCAAAATATTTGGAAAATGTTATGCTATATAGAATGTGCTAATATAAACATTCCGTCAAAATGTCATGTACAATGTCTAAGGTCATTTGTTTAAGAGTTGCATCCAAAACCAAAATCGATTTTTTCGAAAACATATTTTACAAATTCCCGTTTTTTCTTAATTTTTCTTTTTTTTTTTCACGGCGCTTTGGAAAATTACTGGAACATTTTTACTTTTGAACCCCCAAAGTACCAACTAGATTCACTATCCTATCAGAAAAGATACTGTTGAAGAAAATCTTAGCATTTATACTGTCCTAAAAGATGATGCCAGATACTAAATTTAAAAAAAAAAAAAATTTAAAAGAGACATCATTGTAAAATCAATACATTCATCGATTCACTCAGAATCTAAAATATGTTATCATATTAAACCTACAGGCATGTACGATGAAAGGTTTGGTTTTCAAAAAGGGCATAATATTATAATATATACTATGAAGTTAATGGTTATACATTTTAAACTCGTCGTATACTTAGGTACCTATATATAATTATTACTTTAAAGTAAACATTTGTGTTAGAAACGGTTATAGTTAGTATAATATTATTGTATGATGTATTTATTATTTTTATTTTTATTTTTACGAACTATCATTTATATGAAATCAGCTTGAGTTTCAGTAGGTTGGTGGGACCCGTCTTTAACGACCTAGGTATATCATATGTTACTATAATAGTAGTTTATCAATTATTACTTATTATTATTGCCAATATCAAACAAACTTCCTAATTCCTATCACTAAGAAGTAATTGGTTTTATTTTAGTCTTTAGATCATACTTGAAAATGTACTCAACTACTTAAGTATTTATCCATAATTTATTGGAAATAGGTATCGGGACTTCAAAATCGAATTGAACTTTTTTGAATTATTTACTTCTTTCTTGTGATATCTTGATTAGATTAAAATAGTAAAACAAATCGAAGACAATTAATAATATTTCCATAAATAATAAATGCATAATATTGAAAACGATTGTACAATTATTTACAATTTTCCGTTTAAAACATATTAGTAATAAAATGTATAACAAACAAATCGCTTCCAATTTCGCACTTAGACGTTTATACTTATTCGAAAGATCAAAATCATGTTCTATTTTATTTCAGCACCTAACCAAAAAGGTAAAAAGTACACAATCGTTCGTACTCCTCCGTACCCGTCCAGTAAAGATTTCCGGTTGCATTCAAATAACATGGCACTTAGGATTTTTTCTCCAAAAAGGTCAATAGATAAAACCCGCAGTTCGCACACTTTATACCGACTTATATTGTGTAGCAAAATACGCACTCTACAGACCAGATGTATTCCAGACGTCAAACACTTTTAACACGTTTATCAAGAGCATTAGTAGAAGCACTATATTTGTTTTAAATTGTGATATTCTTATTACACTAAAATTAAAAAAAAAAATACTTATATTTAAAAGTAAGTTGACAAGGTGAAATTTATATTGTAACATGTAAAATAGTATAGAATTATAATACAATTATTGTGACGCGTACCTAGCTAGTGCGCCGGCAGAGAAGTAGCTCACTAGGTGCAAAATACTTTTATAGTGTCAATATAATCCATGAGGGGGACACTCTTCTAATCCTAATTTAATGACACCTTTATGATGAATTTTTTAAATTATAAGGTTTCATAATTTGTATTAACTGTCAATAATTATAGATACTTACATATATAATGGTTAATATAAATTGGTTATTAATTAAAAAAAATTATTAATTGTTTGGAAAATATTCCATTTAATGAATTAGAACTAAATTGTATTGATACATTAGTTTAATTTTCAATATTATATCCATGTATAGCTTTGGAGTTACAGGAAATGTATTTTTGTGTGATGTAGAGCATAGTTTTTTTTAACTACCAGGTAGTTCATCACTAGTTAATTTTAAAATTTGAATTGAAATTTTCAGCATGAAATGTAATTGTTTTACAACTCAATTAAAATATGCATATAATAGTGTATAACAGTACAATAAACAGTTTATAGTGTTAGGTTTACAAGTATACAATAATAATTATACGATCATAATATTTTATTTTTATACAGCGTTATACACTAATACATTATTAAGATGAGTTGATCAAACATACACCATAATAATATAACACAGTTAAGGGGCTCGCTACTTCTGTTACTTTTAGCTCAGAAGACCTTACGTTTTTATAAAACTAAAGTTAGTTTACGTTGTCCATTTTTATTATGAAAAAATTTGAACTCGGCAGAAAATTGTCTATAGATCGTAAGGAACACTAATTTGAAAAAATTAAATCTTGTATTATTGTGACTTGTAATTGATAAAAATTGCCTAAATGTTTCCCCTTAAATAATCGGCATAGAGAGGCCCTTAGAGGGTATTCGGTACGATGATTTTCTGTCTTTGTCTAACACACGCGTGACATAGGATTTAAAACGTGTTCTCTGCCAAACGTACATAATGATCTAATGAAGTTATACCGTCAAGTCTACTTGAAATGACTTTCCCACATTTTTGATATTATCACCCAAATTCATAAAACCGTTATATTAAAAAAGAGTAAATAAAAAATTGTTATACTTCAATTTTTGGAGAAGTTTTCAAAAAAAAACCAACATGTGAGAAAATCGATCTCAAGTAGATTTGACGATAACTTCAAATCTGTTTTTAGAATTCTTATCGCTTCATTAGATATCATTTGATACGTTTGCCAAAGAACACGTCTATAAGATCAATTAAGATCCTATGTCACGCGTGTGGTAGACCAAGACAGAAATCTAAGGTGTCGAATCTCCTTATTGAAATTATTAATAATATCATTAGTGAATAAAATAAATGTATTAATAGACTGGTGGTATCACCGTTCTTTCGTGACTGTACCCACTACTAAAGTGGACGACAATTTCTTAGAATAGGTATTTACTATATAGGGTATAACCATGGACATAAATATTATAAATCAACAGAGAAGGATTTTTTATATTTTATTTTTTAAAATTCCAAATCATTAAAATTCTCAGACGATGCGTCTCCCTCGGGCTTGCCTGCTGACAGCATTTAATTTATATTTTTATTTAAATAAATATGATAAATAATATATTTTACATTTTTAAGTAATTATACGACTTTCAGTTTTTGGACACAATAACTTTAAGGAATTGTAGGTTTTTAACCAACTAAAAGTGTGCGGGTTTGTCCTGTATTTTATCTAAAGCGTGTGATGGTTTTTGGATTCAAGGAGATTTTCGGGTGGAATTATCGCGTTAAGGCTAATGTATATAACAATACATACCGTCGCCTTATATACTTCCATGATGTCGGCATTACATTATATGGACGCAAAACGAAATTCACTCGGTATATAGGTATACGGTTTTGCCTTTGAGCGCAAAGAACGCTCTACGAACTTTGTTGTCTCGGGGATTCATTAAAAATGCACCCTGTATAAATTTAAAACTTCAACTATACGGGTGTACCCACAGTCACGAAAGTTTATATTCACGATGAAAGTTTTTAAAACAGCTTATGGCCTGCGGGGCATGTAATTTAATTTAGAGAAGACCCCATCTAACCTGTACACGTCGTCGTATGCGTTCCCGTAAGTAAACACACCGTGAAGAGAAGAATGAGCGTGCATGTCGATTACCAAATCGAGTTCCATGTTCTGAAATTAATCACAACAATAATATTATTATGTGTGTATAGAATATTATATTTATATTACATTTTAATTATAAACGATGATTTACCACATCATTAAGCATTTAAGCGTATGGTAATAATAATAAACATTAATATACCTAGACATCATGATGATGACAATATACTTGTCCATATACTGAGAACGTATTTAACGGTGGCGCAGCAAGAAATCTTAACTAGGGTAGGGGAGGGCAATTTTTAATTTTGTTTATTTAATATGACATAGGGTAGGGATTTCAATGCACTTCACAATGTTTTTCAAAGCTAGCATGCTAAGTATGCTCGTTTCGTAACAAATCCGTTTATATTATACCGTTGACCGAGTATAAATACAATTTTATTATTTTTAGGAAATTTGTGACACATAAATTGTACCCCAAAACTATCATTCAAAGAACTATAATTCTAGGAAATATTATTTTTATTTTATTGGTTTATATCAAAGTTGTAAAACAATAGACAATTTAAAATAAAAAAAATAAAATATTAAATCGGATATCTTCCGTAAACTTCAAAATTTCAAACGTTGTAATCAATTAAAGTCTTACACTTACAAATTTCTATTTAAAGTGTATTGTAAAACAATTTTCAAACGCTTCTTTACAAACTTTTTTTATAAATAACAAAAAAAAAAAAATATATATTTTTCAAAGTTTATAGATAATAATAGGAATATTTTGAACTTTTAGGTACACCGAAATTTTCATGAGCTTAAGAGACGTCCCATTCTCATCCCTACAGTTATATATTTAGATATAAAAAAAATTGGTTGTTGTAATCAACAATACATAATATTATTAAGTACACATTTTGATTGCTGTACTTCAAAAAACTTTTTAAATAATTCATACATCGTATTAAGTATATTTTAAAAATGTTATTGCAAAATTGTAAGCTCATGGGACCCCATACTAACTTATTCATCGGAGCCTATTGCATTTTCTTCGTGAATAATAAAATATATATAAATACTGTACTTATATAAAACTTAAATACTTGTTTGTTGACATTCGGGGAAATAACGTTTAATAATAAGAACTCTAACGATTCAACATTTTATTGACTATTATTGTATTATCAGTCAACATGTTGAATTATTTTATGTATGCAAATCAATTAAATTTTTGTTTATTCTGTAAGCGTCATCTTTGACCTCCCCACCACATGACTAGGCCTCTCATGGATAAATACACCGTTATAGTGGTATGAACTCAACTAGGACGAAATATCGTACAATCGTACAATGTTTTTATGGCTACGACACGATTGAGCATAAAACACTTTTTTTGCGATACGAATATACGATTGAGAATATTTTCCGGCGTATCAGAGGATATAGAAATATAAAAGAAACCCTACACGATTGAGCATAAAAAACTCTGCAACGTTGCCATTTTCATTTTCCAACTATATTATACAAAAAATATTTAATTAAACATTTATAATAACTCAAAATATGGTACGAGTTAAATAAAATATATATTTGTATAAAATATTCTATGCTCAATTATGTTGCTAAAAAGGTATATGCCCAATCGCGATTTACAGGTTTTTATTATTACCATGTTCAATAAATTATGAAGTAAGCCTGGACTTTTTTGTTTACAATACCAACAAGCAAACAGACGAATCATAGATGAGAACATACCAGTATGTTTAGCCATGTACGGCGTACATTGTACGCTACTGTGAGTAAATAAGTAGCTCACCTCGTGCTTTTCGATTTCTAACAAGTGATTGTGGACGGCGTACAATATAGGATGGACCCATTGCGATATCTTGTGCCAAGCTCTGTTCAAGTCGATTCCCAGCAAATTGGTCCTGTAACAACAATATTCGAGTTATAGTGTTCGCCTCTGCTTTCTTCGCCTGATAAAGATGACATTTTTTTTTAAAATGTCTTTTACAACTATGTATAATATATTTTAATATCATGTTATAATGTTATCGCCTTCTGACAACGTGCATGCTGTTATGTCGTAATGTCTCTGACTATAGCAGTATAATGGTTTGTGTTTGTTGTGTTTAATTATTACATAACGAACCAATGTGAATTATAATAATTGATTGTCATCCATAAAGTATCCATCGATCCATTGGTGAATTAAATCTAAATATCCATGGCTGTTCGTATTTAGAACAATGTTGTAATGTAGTGGTCGGGAAATGATTATTTACCTAGAATTTCCTAAAGTGACTCCATCGGGGTTCATCATAGGTATTAGTTGAAAGACGACTTTTTTTCGAAGACGTACCACGGCTGGATGGTTGCTAATCAAAAATTCAATGATCCCTGTCGCATAAAATTGATGGTTTAAATTATTCTGGAAGTTGCACTTGCTTATTATTTTGTAAACGTTTTACCTTGACAGACATAGGAACTGGGCGTCTCGGATCCGTGTACTCTTCCTAATATCACAACGACATGTACTTTTTCGGTTGGATTCATATTCTTTGGATTAGTTATAGTAACTAAGTCCAATCTTTTGTTTTGCTTGATTACAAAAAAAAAAAAAAAAACAATGTAAATAGAAAACATTGAAAACTGTATAATATAGTATTATACTATTATTATTAATTACGAAAGAAAAAAAGTAAAGTTTGAAATGTAGCTTTACGTTTTTTGTCAGTTATATTATATTTAAACATAATACATATTATATGGTTAGATTTTAATTTCTAATACTTTTTTTTTTATTTTTAAACGTTTGTTTAACAAATTCGTAATAAAAATTTGATTTTGTTTAAATTTATTCAATAGGATACATGAATTTACTTTTACTCAGCATCAGAAACATGGATTTTTCTCATTGCAATAAATAAGATAAAATCAAAAATAGCAGCTGATGGTTCCACCCCGCTACACTTGACCTATTTTTTTTTTAAATAACTTTTGAAGAATTGTACATATATTTGGTCTTCGAACTATTGTGGTGAAAAAGTAAAGTGCAACAAATATTTTAAATTCGAACAATAAAAGATGCTTCATTGTTCGGTTCAAATTTTTTTCATACCGAGTTTAAATTTTGAACAGTTTTAATCATCACTACTATTATTTCATTATTTTATAATATCATACGTCATGTTTTTTTCGATTGCATTTTTTATCCATAATAAATTATGGTAACACGGCGTTATGGATAGGCAAATCAGGTACACCACCACCGTGTATCCGTTTTTCCGGTTTCTCCAATTAAACCTAGACGCACCAGAATCAGTTCATATTTTCCTAATGGTAGGCACTAATAGTGCCGGGTATCAGTTATATAAGGCTAGGGTGCCACTACTAATATTGAATAAAATATTATTTATAAAAGAAATTATTTCAACTAGTAAGTACCTCATGTCTCATATATGTTCCTTGAAATTGTGTCACATGTAGAGATAAAACTGAGTCCATAACAGTTAAAAATAATCGGGTATGGATAATTTCCTATAATATTTTTTATTAATCTTTATAAATTATCACTTAAAAAAGTTAGAAAATCTAGGATTCAACGCCACGAGGCACCTTAAACTAACTCAGCCTTGAGGCACCGTTGCATTGCACCCCTTGCAACCCCACTAAATCCAACACTGATTACTTCATTATTATAATAATTGCAAAATGATTTTATACATAGGTACATTAAGATAATTGTAGCATGCAAATTAATTAAATTAAATCATCAAAAATAAATATTTCCTAGTTTTAATGTTATATGTCATTTAATATACGTCTTGTTAAGTATTTAATACTTTAATTTAAGAATAATTTAAAATAGATGATAATGTATTATATTTTGGTATCACTTATGTTTATATAAGTACTCGGAAGGTTAAGCTTATTGATATTTCGAAATTTTATCAATGCTAATAAAACCGTTTAAAGATATACATACTTTACGATGAGAATTTCATGCAACTCATTGAAAACAATATTGGTTTTTACTTTTTTGTTTGTTTTAAATTATATATGTAGAGATCTTCTATAGGTAGTTGGTTTTTAATATTTATATAATGAAATAGTATGTGCATTATAACATAATGGGTAAACAAATTACTTCTATTATATTCATGGTACTTGGTGAGCTGTGTAAAAAATAATAATATTACGTAGACTAATATTTAAACAGCTTGCTTCGGAAATCTAAGGTTTTTTGAGATAGTTCAATATCTAAATCCATTCAAAGTCACGAAATCGCCAAAAACTATATTTAATATTACATAAATATGTATATGAAATGAGATGCAATACAATGAACTAGCTAGTGGTGTAACTTGGAGTACTTTTGAAGCTATACTTCTTACTAGACGCCTGGGCCCTGAGACTGAACGTGGAAAAAATAGAGGGAGACAGAGGTAACTAAAGATTACCAAAAAGGTGGTATAAAAATTATTTTATAAACTCCTTTGGTATTTGTGAAATGCAAGTAAGATAACGGCATGCAATTGCTGATAATAATAATTTTTATTTATTTTGCATCTTTACTTTCTGTTTTTTTTCATTTGACTTAAAAATATTGTCACAAATATACTATTATATTTCCTATTTTGTTTATTTAAATTGGTTCTTTAGTGTTTTAGTGAGAAATAAAGTTCAAGAAAAATGCAGATGGATCGTCATATTATACCCAATATGTGATATGTTTATCTGTTATCAATATTTATAACGAAAAATAAAAATATGTTTTTGAATTTTTATTTATTATTTTTTTAGCTATTTATTAGGAAATAAAAGAAACATTTAGTAAGTATTTAGCTACACATACCAAATTAAAATATCGTATTCTTTATTTATTATTATATACTGAGTAAGATTATTAAAATAATACCTAAATACCTATACTTTTATGTGTATTAGTTTTTTTTAGTATAAAGACTCATTCAAAGTGCCCCATGTGGATTCAAAAGTACCGCTACTATGGTTCACAAATGAATAAAAAGTTTCTTGTGTCTAACACTTTTTAATGAATTATTATTTAATAATATAGAGCTTAAATAATTACAGTATGATGTTAAAATAATATGATAATCTAACAGGATCATTATAGTTCAAATTATTTTAAAAAATGATGTAATTTTCATTCAAAACTGCTCCATTATCCCCTGAGGGAAAATATCAAAAAAGTAGTAATATTTTATTATAATTAAGTAAACATTATGTATAGACGAAAAAAATGTCTTAATCTTTGGAATCATAGTTTTTTCCAGGGGTCCCGTGACCCACATAGTTTTTTTTTTATTCAGGGTGAGGGAAGTATTATAAATATTTATTATCTATTATATCTTAAAATATAACGGTGGAAGAAGTGACACCTTTCATCTCTTCAAATAAATACACACAATATATTTCCAATACAAAATCTATATCTATGAGCATGTAAACGTTATATAGCAGTACATGAAGTTTTGTAGACTTGTAAAATTAGTGAACATTTATAAGTTAGTACCTACTATATCCTATTAAAATAAGAAAACCTGCAAATGCGTTTACAATAGCTAGGTATATGTTTAATGGCAAGTTAGTAATTATTGTCAAACCCACGAAAAGTGAGCGATGACGCTAGCTCTACATTTCCATTAGAGGTTATCAAAATAATTGGCGTGCTTTTGAAAATTATGTACAGTCTTTACTCAAAAACTGATAACAATAATACGTACAATACGGAGAACCCCTGGTTCCGACACTATTTGGGACTGCAGCCCATATCGGCCTTGAGCGCACACTTTTCGTGAGATGGACATAAAACGCACACACACAAATAGTATTCAAGCACAAAGATTAAAAGAATAATTTGTTGTATATATTCAATAAATTAGAGCTTAAAACGAGGGTGGGGGGAAACGATAACTTTTCTACCTCTGTTCCCTCTTGCCCCTCTTTATCATTCCTCAGATTACGCCCAATGCGGAATACACATACATCGTCGACACACCTTCAAGGCTAATGTTAAGAAAATTGAATACAAAAGTCACTATAATATTATACCATATACCTAATCCGGTGTCGATTGAACTTTTACGCTCGTGTTGACGTGTTGTGTGGCATTATTTTGTTACGGTTGACGACGCAATTTTACGTCTGAACACCGTCGAAATGGCTATGCATATAGATTATTTATACCGTAATTTTGCATCGAATTCTGCAATATGAATATTTTCCATTCATTCGGTAAATGTATTATTTTACTGTTCAATAACTGTAATGCGCACCATCATCAAACTATTCATACTGTTGTACACATATTGTAAAGCGCATTGCAGAATATGATATGAGGCGCGTCACAGTGTGATCATTTCGTTAAAACCGTGCCAAATTTGATATTTGAAAAATGCGTTTAAAATTATATTTGTTTATAGTGTCTCTAGAACACGTATTCTAAAAACAAATTACCGTTTGTTTTATGTCGACAATGTCATTGCTTTTTTCGTTATTGTGCTTTGGATTTGAAAGTATGACCATTGATTATAAAATAATATAGATACTAGTATTGGCAATGGTAGTCAATGGAAGAATAAATATATATATAAATGTTTATGGTTCATGGGTATGATGTAATAATAATAATAACAGATACGTCGGAAAAAATGTAAATATAAAGACTTTAAAAAAAAAAAAAAAAAATGTATGTTCTTCGAATTTGCATATTACATACAACTAGAAAATTAACTAATTTATAAATATACGAATTTTCTAGAAACTACCAAGTATCAACTATTACTATAAAATTAAAACAAATAAAAACTAATTATAAAGAATACTTCCAACAGAAAATAAGATAGTTTAAGTAAAAGCTTGGTATATTTTTTTTTTTGTAGGAATATTTTGTATAATTTCGAATAAATATGTTTTCAAAGTATTGAAAAAA